AGATCAGAGCGTGAATATCACCAACGACAGACGAGTTAGTTGAGCTCCCTCAAGTAACATGAATTCAGTCTCTACTAATATGAGCGTCGAATGGCAAAGTGGTATCGCACTCGTCTAACACTGCCGCGTCTCGAGTTCAAATCCATGCTGCGGCAGCTCCGTCTTACATTTGCCTGTCAGATTCTCACTCCGGCCAGAGCGCGAAATTCGCGCCGAACTTATTTCACGCTTTCATTTTCACTTATTCCACTCAGAGTAAGGCCTTGTCCACACACACACGAGCGCGGTTCGCGGAACTAATTTCGAGGAACTTGTTCGCGGAACAAGTTTTAGCTGAGCTGAAAACTTATTCCTCCTGAACCCGGAACTTCCCCCGTACCCCAAGCTTCTACATATCGACGGTGAAACTACCAGACCACGTATCTCGTTTGCGGTGTTTAAAAATCTCCACTCACATTTTATTTTTTTAAAGGAGATCAAATCAATATCATTCCTCACAATTTTCACAGATTTTTCTCCGCACAAAGAGGAAAAATCACGGAAGTTTTCACGAACTGACGTTGAGTAGTTTTCTATTTAAAAAATAAAATATGACAGGAAGTCTGCGACGTCGCAAACCGAGATACGTGGTTTGGTAGTTTCACCGTCGATATGTTTCTTTTGATGTGAATTTGTTTGTTTTTGTTTTTTACGTCTTTTACATGTCTTGACATTTATTTTTGTTACTTTGGCAGCCGTAGTAATCTATTATTTTGCAATAATTGTACATGTTTATGGAAGTTCCGGTTCCAGTTTGGGCGAACTCGTGTGGACAGCATCCCTCCTTTCAAGGAACAAGTTCCGGGAACTGATCAGTTCGTCGAATAAGTTCCTCGAACCACGCTCGTGTGGACAGGGCCTAACAGTTGGTCAAATTAGCAACTGAGTAAGCGTGAATTTCGCGCCGGGATTTTTAACAGTGTAGTTTTCTAAGATGATCCATATTATGTTTCAGAGAATAGTTGGTAACATCCAAATATTCTTACGGCGTTTTACCCCAACACGGCAGAGTGTGCCCCACTTCACCATCGTTGCAGATCCAATTTTCGCGCCCTGCTACAACTCGCCGCACGTTGTCGGATTATCCGCCTTATTTCCGGTCAAAATCAGTGGCGAGGCGTGATTGATCATTTATCGATTTTCCCCCATTTGATGCCGCGGCGAAGAATCGATTATTAAGGTGTTCGTTGCGAACACCCTGTTTATCGATCCTTTTCCATAGGTTTAAGTGGCAGATCAATCGATGTATCGCAAAGCACGCCACGCCACCGGTGAAAATCCCCGGGAAATTTCCCGCCATCCGATAACCTCGCCGCCTCTCGTCGCGAGCCGAGTAGGAAACCTGTTGCGCCTCTCATTGGAGATGCATAGCGCGTTGATGTCGTTCCCGAACCTGTTGCCGGATTTAAGATAAAATCCCGTATTCTGTCGTGCTAAGGAAAAACGCCGTAAAAGCCTTCAGGCGTTGCCAAGTTTCCTTCGATAAAAACCGAATGTACTGGGAAAATTGCCAATATTATTCTCCAAAATTTTCAGACAATTTCGCACGCAATTTAATCGAAAGTATCTGAAAATTCTGCTTCAATCCCGTCCCTCCAACCTTTCAATGGGCGCCCTCTGCGTCTTCTCCCAGGAGGAACCCAGTCAAGGATCTTCTTCGGCAACCTGTCTCCTGCCATTCTCTGGACATGACCATACCAGATGAGTTGTTTTGTCATAATGTCATGCACGAGAGAAGACGCAGAGGGCGCCCATTGAAAGGTTGGAGGGACGGGATTGAAGCAGAAATGTTGAGGTGCTCAATCCCCCAAGATTTTTGGTTTGAAAGAGAGCAGTGGAGGTTAGGAGTCGTAGAGCGCGAGGGAGTGCTGTAAAGCGACTTGTATGTATGTATCTGAAAATTTCAAAGAAAAATATGCATAAATGTCGACTGAAATAGAGTACCTGTATAGCGAGAGTATGGACAGATCGCTTCATGGACGGCTTAGGGCCCAAAAGTGCAGTCACCCTTCTAACCAACTTCTAACGCACAAAATTTCACTGCCAGTCTGTAGATTCCAATTCTAACGAAGATGGCTAAGAAAGTACATAAATGAGCGTTCTTCCGCAAAAATGAGTAAATTTATGCAAAAACTAAGTCAAATACGTGCCTTATAAACGATGGTTCGTAACCATTGTATTAATAAATCGCTCTGGATAATTGAAATTCATAGGTTGGCTACATTTCTGGGCCCTAACTTTATTCGCGGAGGCATCGGTGAAGGCCTGATGGATTTTCGGAGTTTCACATCTGTCTATACTCTCGCTATAAAGGTACTCTAGTCTAAAATATATGTTTTGTCGAGGGAAATTTGGCAACTCTCGAATGTTCTTACGGCGCTCTTCCTTAGCACGGCAGTATTGATGGTTGGAAATCCGGAAAATTCGGGCACTTTGGCAACGTGCGTCGAGGATCCGCCGGCTGTAGGAGCATCGCGCGCGGGAACGGATCGACCTGGCGACGTGCAGAAATACGTTCGGAAATACTCCAGACTTGAGGATCGGGAATCTGAGCTGAGAACTGAGTCGAGGAACTTTGGTGTGGCGTCTGGGCCCACCAACTTTTCATTGAAACAATGAAAATCAAATATACAGGCGTTCCGGAAGTTAACGTGCGTAACTTCTTGTCGACAACCTAGTTAAACAAACCACGAATGGAGATGTTGCATGTGTGAGGAAATTGCGATTCGACTGTTGATTCTTATGTAAAAGCTCGCGAGAAACACGATGGCCCCACTGGTTTTCTCTGAAATCAACTTCCAAGCTCAAAAAAAGCTCTCAAGTTGAGGCTAAAATGGAGGGGATATCCCACGCTAACAAACTCTCCATGCAAAGATAGGGAGCACATGCATTGACAGGGCTGCCACCTTATTTGGAGACTCTAAAACTGAAATCACGGCAACCCTGTCAATGTATTTGCTCCCTATCTTTGCATGGATAGTTTGTTTTGATGTAGAGGTGGGCTCTCAGGATAGCGTGGGATATCCCCTCCATTTTGGCCTCATTTTGAGAGCTTTTTTTTAGCTTGGGTGTTGTGGAACTTTTGCATACGAATCAACAGTCAAATCGCAAATTCCTCACACATGCAACATCTCCATTTATGATAACGCGACGAACGCTCATTGGTCGCTTCATAACGCGTGTGTGAACACAGCTGAAAATTGTTTCGAGGGCCAACAGTCAACAGCGGCACCGATGACTAATTTTCAAGACTCCCTTTTCAGCGTGTGAAGTCGGCATTAGGAAGTGTTGCATCCCCGAACTGACTGCCTTCACCTGACGCCAAGAGCTGCCGTGATAGCGAAGAGAGCAGTAAGTGCACAAAAGTAATTTTGAGAAAACGAGCTCAGAAGCTCCTGACCTGAAAATTTTATTGAAAAAAGCCTCCGTTCTATGTCAAATTGCCGCTACTCGTCCGGGAGACCCCAGAAACCGTTTGGATGATTAAAAATCGACTGATATTATGTCAACTACATAAAAAGGGTATTTTTCATTTTCATGGAAGGTTACTGTTGGGCAAGGCAGCCGTACATGCTGTATTCTGCATGCTTCGTGTTTGCGTTTTGGACACGCGACAAACACGTTTTCAGGTTAGAAATTGGCAGAAGAGGGCGGTCCTGTACTTGGAAGCACTGTTTTATTCATTGACTCTCCGGAGGAATAATGCCACTTACTGCTGTCTGGCCTGAAAATACGTCATTTTTTGTGCACTTACGGCTTTCCAATAGGTCTTGTTTTCATAGAAATAAGATGAATTTTGCTTTTTTAGCTATTTCAGTGATTTCATCAAGATGAGATTAAACGAATTTTGAAGGAAACTCGATTTCCAACATTTGACATTTACTGCTCTCTTCGCTATCACGGCAGAATACCCTTAACAATGTAATCGAGTGAGGGAAAAGTTAAAATCGAAGGCCAATGCTATTTTCCGCCAGAACGCACCGAGGATATTTGCTACTTTCATACCCGCGCGTTAAAGTCTCTGCTGAACTCTCATACAAGACCTAAGCTCGACTTAATATCTGTATCACACCCCCAAGGGTACTTCTCAGAGGTTATCATGAAAATCTGGAATTTCCGTACCTTTTCACGAAAATCCGTACCGACCTTCGAAAATCCTTACCAACCTGCACTTACGGTTTTCTTATATGTCTCTTTTTCATACAATTGAGATGAATTTCCCTGCTTAATTATTTCAGTGCTTTCATCCAAAACAGATTAGACGAATTTTGAAGGAATCTCGATTTCGGAAATTTGACACTTACTGCTCTCTTTGGTGTCATGGCAGAGAGGCCTGTGGAAGGTCTCTTTCCTCTGCGCTTTCTGTATATTCACTGGAAAAAAACACTTTGGATCTAGAGTCCAGACTCTAGAAAACATCGACAAGAAAAAGTACTCTTGATTCAATCAGAATCTAGCTTAAATCAAGAACCAAGCCTCTTAATTTAAGCGGATTTCGTTTTGATTCAAGCACAAATCCGATTGAATCAAGAGTATTTTTTCTTGTCAATGTTTTCAAGAGTCTGGACTCTAGATCCAATGTGTTAATTTTCCCCAGTGCAGCTGAAAATTGTTTCGAGGGTCAACAGTCAGCAGTGCCACCGATGTTTAATTTTCAGGACTCCCTTTTCAGCGTGTGAACAGAGGCGGATCCAGCAATTTGGCAACACCGAACTTCCTCCATTTAAACCTATGCTAAATAATCGATGCTTGTCAGAGCACCTGGCCCTAATGTGAATATGATCCTATGTGTTTTTTTTTTTTTCCAGTGTGTCATGGCAGAGATGCCAGTGGAAGGTCTCTCGTCTCTGCTCTTTCTGTATATTGTACATCTATTTTTTTTTTTTACTTGTGATGGAAGAAGAAATCACGGCTCTGGATTCTGATTTCGTGTTGTTTTTTTGCGTGTGTTTCAGGGGCGAGAGACGGCGGGAGGGGTGGGGCGGCGGAGGGTCTGGGGGGCGCGGGCGCGGAGATGTCGGCGAGTCCCTCTGCGTACCCGATGCCGGAGTTCCGGGACGTGGACCACTATCGGAACCCCCTGTGCATCGTCGACGGCGGCCACGAGATCGTCCGACCCAAACCCAGAAGGTAAGCGCCCATCCTCACTCACACACTCTCATTCTCACTCACACACTCTCGTTTTTACTCACACACTCTCGTTTTTACTCGCTCTCACACGCGCGCACCCATCGATCAATCAATCAGTCAATCACGATCCCCGCCGTGCATGTCAAACACTCGCGGATAAGAATAATAGATGCCTCCAGCTCCGAGCTTTTGCCCCGGTAACTTTTGTCATTAATGCCGTGCTAAGGAAGAACTCCGTATGAGCCCTCAGATGTTGCCATATTCCCTTCAATAAAAGTCAAATTTACTGGGAAAATGGTGAATTTTTTTTCAAAATTATCAGACATAAGAATAAGAATAACAGATGCCTCCAGCTCCGAGCTTTTGCCCCGATAACTTTTGTCGATAATGCCGTGCTAAGGAAGAACGCCGTATGAGCCCTCAGATGTTGCCATATTTCCTTCAATAACAGTCAAATTTACTGGGAAAATGGTGAATTTTTTTCCCCAAAATTATCAGACATAAGAATAAGAATAATAGATGCCTCCAGCTCCGAGCTTTTGCCTCGGTAACTTTTGTCAATAATGCCATGCTAAAGAAGAACGCTGTATGAGCCCTCAGATGTTGCCATATTTCCCTCAACAAAAAGTCAAATTTTCTGGGAAAATGGTGAATTTTTTCCCCCAAAATTATCAGACATAAGGATAAGAATAATAGATGCCTCCAGCTCCGAGCTTTTGCCTCGGTAACTTTTGTCAATAATGCCGCGCTAAGGAAGAACGCCGTATGAGCCCTCAGATGTTGCCATATTTCCTCGATAAAAGTCAAATTTACTGGGAAAATGGTGATTTTTTTTTCAAAATTATCAGACTTAAGAGCAACGATATTAGATGCCTCCAGCTTCGAGCTTTTGCCTCGGTAACTTTTGTCAAGAATGCCGTGCTAAGGAAGAACGCCGTATGAGCCCTCAGGTGTTGCCATATTTCCCTCGATAAAAGTCAAATTTACTGGGAAAATGGTGAATTTTATTTTCAAAATTATCAGACAATTTTGTTCACGATTCAATCCAAGATATCTGAAAATCTGAACGCACTGAGGATATTTGCTACTTTTATACCTGCGCGTTACAGTCTCCAAAAACTCTCACACAAGACTCAAGTTCGACTAGATATCACACCCCCAACACTGGAAAAAAACACATTGGATCTAGAGTCCAGACTCTTGAAAACATCGACAAGAAAAAGGACTCTTGATTCAATCAGATTTAAGCCTAAATCAGAAGGAAATCCGCTCAAATTAAGAGGCTTGGTTCTTGATTTAAGCCAAAATCCGATTTAATCAAGAGTATTTTTTCTTGTCGATGTTTGTAAGAGTTTGGACTCTAGATTCAAAGTGTTTTTTTTTTTTTTTCCAGTGCACTGTTGCATGTGCATTTCTGCCGTATTTCCTAACAGTTCGAGAAATTATTCAAAATGGTGACAGAGTCTAAAAAAGCATCTTATTCTTGCTATCCTCAAGAATTATTATCCTTATACTGACAACAAGGAGGAACGAGACAGTTGTTTTACTCTCCTGGAAAATTGTGTTTTCCGAGATACGCTCTTCTGCACTTTCAACATAGATTACGCTCTTCTGCACTTTCAACATCGATTGGTACCTATTATAACACATAGCGGTGGCATGCTGCCAGCGCGAAACGTGCATTAGCGCCTACAAACCTAAGCGGATACCTCAAGCATTGCGCGGAACGCGCATTGGCGCCTACAAACCTAAGGGGATACTTCAAGCATTGCGCATTGCGTGAAGTATCCCTGTTGTAGGTTTGTGGGCGCTAGTGACAAAACAGGTGCGCGGACAAATGACAACGTTGCCATTTTGCTGGATCCGCAAATGTCTTGTCTTTTTAAGAGTCTGAACTCTGGCTCCAAGAGACTTTTTCCCGAGTGTTACATTCCTCATTGCTGAGAAAACTCTACAAATAAGACATTATTTTTCTTCCGCATCACACGGTGTTTTTGAGGATTTTCTCGTGTGTCCCAAATCTACAAGAGCTTCCTCGATGTTAAATTATCAAGGCGTCGAAATACTTACGACTCGGCGAGTGCATCGACACGGGACTGCGCCTGCGCCATGAGTGAATCTGTCCGCATGTTCGTGTGGACTGACTCATTATCATCGCGGCTCACAGGACTCCTTCTTCACGTCCCCTGATTATCAGACGGGGACAGCGCGGCGGGGAGGAAGGTTAGATTACTCGACTTAGGCGGGGCTCCAACTTGGATCTCCGCCTGTGAAGAAAGTAGTGGGAAAATAAGAGCTAGCGATCAATGTAAGTTGTACTGTGGACGACTCTGCTTCAAGTTCGTCCTCTTAGTTTTCATTGTATTTTATTTTATTTATTTACTACGAGCTCTAACTGTAGATTCCTATATTTTAATTTGATTAAATAATTCCTTCGTCTCTCGCTACGGTATACTACCGATCAAAGGAAGAACGCCGTATGACCCTGCAGATGTTGCCATATTTCCTTTAATAAAAAGCGAATTTACTGGAAAAATGGGCCTGTCGCAAACTTTTGCCAGAGCAAAAATAAGAGTTGTTCCTTACAGATAATGTCTCGAAAAGCACGATGAGCGCATTGGCAAACTCTGAAATAAACTCCTAACTTCACAATCTGCGCAAGAAATTTGCGGTTGTTTAAGCTTCCCGCTTCAAAAAGGATACTACAGTACAGGTGAACGTTTCGTTAGATGACGCTTTCGCGCGCAAGTTGAGGAGAGCACGAGGTCAATCAAGGCAGATATATGTATAAGAACGCGAGCAAAATGTGAATGTAAATACGCCAATTGTTATCAAGTGGTTAGAATCATCGTCCCGTCACATGCGTTTTGGCGGATTGGCGTCGGTTATGTTGAATACTGCGTAGTATTCTTGTGAGCAGGGGTTGGATGGAATGATTCCTCTAACGAAATGTTCACCTATACCGTGGTGCGTGGTATAGTTTTTGAAGCGGGAGGCTCGAAAAAACGCAAATTTCTTAATCAAATTGAGAAGCAAGGAGTGCATTTCAGACTTTGCCGATGCGCTCATCGTGATTTTTGAGACACTTTCCATAAGTAACAACTCATATTTTTGCTCCAGCAAAATTTTGCAACAGGCCCATTATCATTTTTTCTCTTGAAATGTTTCATGAAATTATGCCCGCAATTAAACCTAAAATATGCGACAAATTCTAAGGGAGAGTATTCATAACTATCCTCCAAAATCGCATGTTTCACCCGAAGAAATTCGTCAACTCTCGAGTGTACATACGGCGTGTNTGCACTCACAAAATTGGTTGGTAAATTCAACGAGTGGGTGCATCGACCTGGTATATCAAGTTTCTGCAATTTTTTACGGCAAATCAGTAGATTTTCGGGATGTAGATTGCTTACTTTCAATTCATGAATGAATAAAGCAACGACATGGTTGAACTTCTTTGCATGGAAAGACGTTTAAAATAACAAAATCAAGACGTATTTAATGCAATTGCATTTATATCGAGTCAATTTCTTTTCAATAATATAACGGGATTTTTACTACCGGTGATTTGGGTATTTTAGCCCCAAAATACCTTTAAATCGACTTTATCTTCTAGGAGTTCGACAGAATTTTTCCTTTCTTCGCTTAAATTATTCCGTAGCACTTTTCTTCAAGAATCTGATAAGATTTTGCTTGAGGCAGATCAAAAAACTTAAATTCGATCGAATAGCTTTCTACTTTCACAATACACGGTCTCGTCAAGGTGCGTCTTTGACCTCGCAGTGTTGGATCGTGAATTCTCTTTTTATGCTGTTTGCCTATTTTGAAATCTCTGTAAATGAAAACTAAAGGGGTTGATATGTGCGAGTTAATGACGCGCCTTATCAACACATTGTGTTGGAGTTCACTGCTTGTTTTTTTTTCCAGTGCATTGTTGCATGTGCATTTCTGCCGTATTTCCTAACAGTTCGAGAAATTATTCAAAATGGTGACAGAGTCTAAAAAAGCATCTTATTTTTGCTATCCTCAAGAATTATTATCCTTATACTGACAATAAGGAGGAACGAGACAGTTGTTTTACTCTCCTGGAAAATCGTGTTTTCCGAGATACGCTCTTCTGCACTTTCAACATCGATTAGTGCCTAACACATAGCGGTGGCATGCTGCCAGCGCGAAACGCGCATTAGCGCCTACAAACCGAAGGGGATACCTCAAGCATTGCGCGGAACGCGCATTGGCGCCTACAAACCTAAGGGGATACTTCAAGCACTGCGCATTGCGTGAAGTATCCCTGTTGTAGGTTTGTGGGCGCTAGTGACAAAACAGGTGCGCGGACAAATGACAACGTTGCCATTTTGCTAGATCCGCAAATGTCTTGTCTTTTTAAGAGTCTGAACTCTGGCTCCAAGAGACTTTTTCCCGAGTGTTACATTCCTCATTGCTGAGAAAACTGTACAAATAAGACATTATTTTTCTTCCGCATCACACGGTGTTTTTGTGGATTTTCTCGTGTGTCCCGAATCTACACGAGAGCTTCCTCGATGTTAAATTATCAAGACGTCGAAATACTTACGACTCGGAGAGTGCATCGACACGGGACTGCGCCTGCGCCATGAGTGAATCTGTCCATGTTCGTGTGGACTGACTCATTATAATCGCGGCTCACAGGACTGGACTCCTTCTTCACGTCCCCTGATTATCAGACGGGGACAGCGCGGCGGGGAGGAAGGTTAGATTACTCGATTTAGGCGGGGCTCCAACTTGGATCTCCGCCTGTGAAGAAAGTAGTGGGAAAATAAGAGCTAGCGATCAATGTAAGTTGTACTGTGGACGACTCTGCTTCAAGTTCGTCCTCTTAGTTTTCATTGTATTTTATTTGATTTATTTACTACGAGCTCTAACTGTAGATTCCTATATTTTAATTTGATTAAATAATTCCTTCGTCTCTCGCTACGGTATACTGCCGAGCAAAGGAAGAACGCCGTATGACCCCTCAGACG